AGGGTTGCGATCCGTTGCCGGACACGAAAAAAGACAAAAAAAAAGGAAAAAAAAAAAAAAACTGAATGGATGGTTGAATAGGTATGTGAATATAGGTTAGATTAGAAAGACACACTTAAGGAAGGCTTATAAGAATCGGATGAACTGGGGAGCACATTCCTGAAGGAGTGAGGAAGGAAGTTTCTGGAATAAAGGATGCAAACACACACATACCCTAAAAAAATGTAACTAAAGAGGGCACAAAGACACATCAGTTCACCTTGGTGATGGTTGTAGAGCTGCAAGAAATGACCAGTCCTCTTCTGGGTTCCTATTTTAGAGAAGCACACAGTCTGGAAAAGGCCTAGGTAGGGACGAGGAAAGAATATTATGAGATCAGGCTTTTCTGTAAAGTAACAAATGATTAAGTTAGAATTATCTTGCTGCTCTATTCTTCCTGTCTCTTGATCCCACCACTGAAACACACATTAAGGCGGATAGATATACAATAGGTGGTGTTCTTAACAGGGTCACAACTCAACACTCTCTACATACAAAAAGAAAATACTTATAACAACTTCTCCACCATTTCTGAAATGAAACTCATAGATAATATGTCTATCTACATTATGCCAAAAATAAAAATAATAACCAACTGTTCTATTTCAATATATTAATAATCACCACTACATTAGAAGGTACAAATAATAAAATGCTTATGCTTACAACTATAATGAGCTAACCTAGATTTATAATATGCCAATAATTCAACTAAATACTGTTGACACATTTTATTTATATTTGACATTTTGAAATAAAGGCTAAATGTGTGTGTTTGTGTGTGTTCATGTATATGTGCAGAATAAATAGAAATGCATAACATACAAATGGAGGCTTCTATCAGTATTTGCTATTGGCAAGTCAAATAATGCAAGCAGTGTTGCCATCAGTTGTGATTTCTTGATATGGTTAAAAAAATCACAGTAAGTCTCTCAATAAAACAAAGTACAATTGTTTTCTCAATCAAACCATAGTTGTGTTCCTAGAAGATTCAGCTAACAGTAAAACCATACATTAATAGGAAAATGTATAAATTTGAAATGAATCATGCAATACATGCTTTATGAGAGGCGTTCTAGACCCAGATAATTATAAACATATTTTTTCCAGGTTTGTTCCTCGTTTTGCAAGTCAATGACAATTCTTTGCTGTGCACTGGAAGACAACTAGATCAGAAGTCGGCAAACCACTGCCCACCAACTATTTTTGTGAATAAAGTTTCATTGCAACACATCCATACTCATTCATTTCTGTTCTGTCTTTGGCTACTTTCACACTACAGAGGCAGAGTTAAATAGCTGCAACAGAAACCATATGGCCCACAAAACCTAAAATATGTACTGTCTAGCCCGTTATAAAGAAGCTGGGTAACCTCTGATCTAGATTCTTGACCTCAGTCCTTCAAAAGCCAGAAGGCTTTACCCTCAACCCAGTTATTTTAACATTTAGAAGTACCCAGCTATATTTACAAAACATCCCCTAGGGAGAAACACTGCCTCTGCACAGAATCATTGATATAGGTGCTCAATAAACATTTAATTGGAAATTCCACTTTTTCCACATGTAGAAATCTGTAGTAGTGGGCCGACCCCATGGCTCTCTCGGGAGAGTGCAGTGCTAGGAGCGCAGTGGCGCTTCCGCCGCGGGTTTGGATCCTATATAGGGATGGCTGGTGCGCTCACTGGCTGAGCGCGGTGCGGGTGACACCAAGCCAAGGGGTTGCGATCCTCTTACCGGTCACAAAAAAGGACAAAAAAAGAAAAAAGAAATCTGTAGTAGATCATTGTACCAATCCTGACAACCTAAAAATCATTCAGATTAAGATGAAAAATCACACTGGCTGAGCGCGGTGCGGGTGACACCAAGCCAAGGGGTTGCGATCCTCTTACCGGTCACGAAAAAGGACAAAAAAAGAAAAAAGAAATCTGTAGTAGATCATTGTACCAATCCTGACAACCTAAAAATCATTCAGATTAAGATGAAAAATCGTAATTTCTTTCAAACTTCAGAGAGCCGAGGACACAAATTTAAATGAGCTAAATTCCATAAAATGCCAAGCTGTTCTTAAGAGACATATATGGATGCTCCTATCCCTGACAGGTCTTGAACTAAATTGTATTAATAATAGTCCAAACATTACAATAAATAAACAGTGTTAAGACAAGATAAAAAAGCAAATTCCAACTATATGTTCTTTACAAGACACACATTAAATATAAAGACACAGATGGGTTAAAAGCAAAATGGTAAGAAAAATATACCATACAAATACTAAGCACAGGAAAGCTTGTGTGCCTGTATTAATATAAGACAAAACAGACTTCAAGACAAAAAGAAATACTAGAGATAAAGAGGATCAATTCATCAAGAAGACACAGCAATTCTAAATGTATAGAGATTTAACAATAAAGCTTCAAAATATATGCAGCAAAGATTGACAGAACTAAAGGAAGAATGAGACAATCGTAGTTGGAAAATTTAACATCTTTTACTCAGTAACTGATAGAACAATCAGTGCTGTGCATGGAAACAAATTTTAAAAATTGTTTTAAATTGATAGAACAAGTAGACAAAAAACAGAATAGACGATTTATATACTGTATCAAGTACTTTAACCTTATTGATATGAGAGTAATTTAAAAAGTTCATGGAAAGATTTGCATTACCTTTTAATTCCATTTTTCCATGAACATTTTGAAGTACCCTCATATAGAACAGCAAACCCAATTGTCATGAGCTGAGCTGAGCTGGAGAGAGCTGAATTGCCAGATGTTGAAATAGCTGATTAAGACAACAAGCCAAAATGAAATAGTCAAGGCTTTAATCCCTTACTAATCACTTAGTATGAGTAAGAGGCCAACCCAAATAAAGCGCTGACTGCCCCACTGTTCCATAGCACTGGGAGAAGGTCAGGTGGATCAGTACAGATGTAGGGAATCATCTCACTGTAGAGGGAGCACCAAAAAAAAAAAAATTAGCTGCTGTCATTACATAGGGAGGAGGGAGAAGGAGATGTGGGAAGGGCTAGGAATAGAAAAACAGAGTACTAAGTCTGCATGGAGCAAAAGTGTCTTCAAGGTTTCCCCCCTCCTCTCAATTAGGATGTCTTGGCTGAGGCACCTAATAAAGAGGCCTCCTCATGGAAGTGCCTGGGCTAGGAAGGCAGATAAGCATAAGAACATGGCTGGCCAGAGAGGGCTGAGTACTTGCAAACTCCCTTTGGAGACTGCAGCCCTGCATTTGCACCACTGCTGTCGGGAGGTCAGCTTTCCCCTGCATGGTCTGCTAGGACTGCCTTTGGTTGAGCCTGAGAGCTCAAAGGTATGATTTCGTCGGAGCCAGACTCTTCACCAACAACTGCAGAGAGCACATTATTTTCAAGAGTACATGGAAAAGTGACCAGAATAAACCAGATGCTGGGTCACAAAACAAGTGTCAATAAATATTAAAATACTGAATCATACAGAGTATATTTTCTGGTCTTTGTCCATATACTGTTAAGTTAGGAACTAGTAACAATGAGAGATCTAGAAGAATCCCAAACATTTGGAAATTAAACACACTTCGAAATAACTATGGGTAAGAGAAGAGACAACAAAAGACATTAGAAAATATGTTGAACTGAATGACTGGAAACATACATCAAATTTTGTGGGCTGCTACAAAAGCACTATTTAGAGGAAAATTTTTCATTTCAAGTATTTTGGAAAAGGAAGATAAAAGATCAATGATTTAGGCTCCCACTTTAAGAAGCTAGAAAAAGGAAAGTAAATGAAGCCCAAAGTATGAAGAAAATAAATAATAACAATAATAATAATATCCACACCATAAAATGGATTACAATAGAAAATACAAACAAATTCAAAATGGGCTCTTTCAAAAGAATCATAAAATTTATAAACCTCTAGTAAGTCTATGAAGAAAAAAATTACCAATACAGAGACTGAACTACAGATTTTATAGGCATTTGTGGGAATGCAGACCATACCGATCCCATCTCCGGGACCCTCCAGCTTTACTATGAAACCTCCTCACACGCTTTTTAATCGGAAGTTATCCACTAATCTGAAGCAAGGCAAGCATAGTTAAGAAAATGACCAAAAAGCCAGGCTGACTTAAGATAATGACGAAAGCTTTCCTGTTGATGCAGGTTGTACCCTTAAGTTAAACGTTTACTGATCACAAGACTTTATTTAGATATATCATAGTAAACGTACTCCCTTTTGTCCGTAAGTTCCTTTACGAACACCTACCTCCCTCCAAACACTGCAGAGTGCAGCTGTGTGTGTGGATCACTACCTGCCCAAACCTCCCTGTGTGAAAGTTACCCATTAATAAATTGTTAAACTGTATGGAGTTGTCTGCTTTGTTTTTCGGTCTCAGAGTCCATTCTCAGTTTAGAGGCCATTTCACTTTCTCTCCATCCTCAGACAGCATTAAAATCATAATACAACTCTATGCTAATAATTGGACAATTTGAAAGATGCAGACAAATTTCTTAAAACACAAACTGCCAAAAGCCACACAAAAAGAAAATATAAATCACACCACATATATTAAAGAAATTAAATGTATAGTAAAAACAACCAAAAAACCTCTGCCTGGGCTGGCCCGGTGGTGCACTCAGTAGAGTGCGGCACTTGGGAGCGCGGCGGCACTCCCGCCGAGGGTTCGGACCCCATATAGAGACCGGTCCGCTCACTGGTTGAGCGCGGTGTGGGCGCAACACTGAGGGTTGCGATCCCGTTACCGGTCATGAAAAAAGACAAAAAGGAAAAAAACAAACAAAAAAAAACCCCTCTGCCTGCAGAGAAGGCCAGATAGCTTCACCAGTAAATTCTAACATTTAAAACAGATATAATACTATATCTTCACAAACTTTTTGAGAAAATAGGAAAAGGAAGAAGCACGCTCTGACATATTTT